GGATGGAAGATCTCTTTGTAACTGCTTTTGAAATAATTAAAATTTTAAAGAAAGATTTATTTTTGTTTGAAAGACAGATACTGCAACGAGAGGAGAGGAGAAGTGATGTTCCATTCACTCTCCAAATGGTCACAATGGCCAGAGTGAGCTGGTCTGGATCCAAGAGCTTCTTTTGAGTCTCGCATATATGGGTGCGAGGACCCAAGGTCTGGAACCATCTCCTGCTGCTTTCCTAGGCCATAAGTAGGGGGTTGGATTGGAAGTGGAGCAGCTGGAACAGCAGCTGGCACCCACATGGGCTGCTGGCACTGCAGGTGGAGTCTCTTAGCATGCTATATCATTTACCAACTCTCACATCTGAGTTTAAAAACGGCATGCTGATAGCTTCTTACACCCTGTTGGCTGCAGGGTCTCACAACCAGACCCTGCTGTGGGGGAGACCAAGAAATGGGGTCTCCAACCTTGGCAACTCCATGTTTGGCTCAAGGTCTCCAGTGCTGTTGTGATGGAAGGGAGGAAAGGTACAGGGAGCGGCTGGCTGTCTCAGCCACACTGTGGTGCTGCTGTTCCCTGACTGGTTGTGAAGTTTAGGGCTTTTTTCTTATTTTAAAGTTAGCATAGGAGAACATGTACATGCTGAGATACAGGGACTAGAACACCTCTCCAGTCTTCCCCCTGCAGTCAGTCATGAGAGCTTCCTAGATACCGGGGACCACTGAAGGCTTTCTTCGCTTCCCTGTGCGTTTTTCACACAATCCTGTCTTAAGAAGCACAATTACGGGAAGGTAATGGGAACATTTTGCAGGCCACATGGTCTGAGTCGTCCAGGGGCAGTGGACTCGGGTGTTTAGCCCAGTAGTATCCGCCCCTAGTGCAGAGGAACAATTGATTGGCCAGGCAAGGATGCATAAATAATTGATGGGTTCTATAGACAGGCTTATGGGAACTCCTGTAATCCCAAGTCAGCTCCCTGTTGATAATGTTAATTCCTCAACCCCCTCTCTCTTATTCTATGTGACCTTCAGTCCATGAAAGCCCGATGCCACTAATAAACTTGGCCTATTGACTATCGGTACACGCATGTCCATCGCTGCTGGACAGCAAACAAGTGGCGCCCAAATTTACATATCAATAACAGCTTCCATCAGTTGTCATCTTACAAATATCCAATCCATTGTCCTACTACACCCCAGCACTCAGACTAATAACGTGTTGCCATATGCTTCCTTGCCTGCCCCCCTCCTTTTTTTGGTAACGTTGATTTGAAATATGAGGCGGACACTCCTGCACCATTTTCAGGGCCGGAGTGGGCAGGCAGGGGAACGGTGGGAGGGAGAGTGGGCAGGCAGGGGAACGGTGGGAGAGGTTTCTGACTCTTGTCTTGGGTGAGTTGCCCTCCCCTTTTTAGGAGGGGTATGAGAGGTTCTGGGGCGACTCTTAGGAAGCCTGGGTTCTAGAAATGCTTCGAACAACGAGGCCTGCACTGGGCTGGGTAATCAGCTTGCAGCTCCAGTCAGGTGAGCTTCAGAACGCAGCTCAATTGTGGCATCTGTGTGTATGTAGAGTTTAGTCAGCTCTTGGAAGCTCTGGTGCCCCTGTGTCGCTTTCCTGCCACTCCCAGGTCAGGATCCGGACTGAGCTGCCGGTCAACAACCTGATACGTGCAGAGCGAGCATATGGAACAGCCTGGACTCCGTGCTCAGTGCAGCACCTGTTCCTGGCCAGAGTGCATCAGAGCAAGCCCCCCGAGTGGCTACTACTGTGCATGACAGCACCTGCTGGTCTTCAGTAGGGCGCTAGTGTCACGTGCACTTGGTGTGTAGAGGTTCATTTTAGAAACATGGTGGAGTGGCCACCACTGCTAAGCTGGGCCCAGCTTAGGACAGAGTTAAGGCCGTGGTTTGACATCCAGTCATTTGAGTTGCAGGGAGATGAAGGGCAGGGTATGCTGGATGCAGGCAGCACCCGGCCCATCATCTTTCTTTATACATGTGATTATATGATCTTGACAACAATTTATTTCTGTGTAGGACAAGATCTGGAGAGCAGAGATCTGCCCCCGGTTATTTGGACAGGAAGTCCCAGTTAGACTTGGAGGCAGGTTAGCTTTGTGGTCACTGTGCCATGAATTGCTAAAAGCATTAGATGGTGGTAAATGGCCTTAGCAGTGCCAGGCTGGGGCTTAGTCTCATCTCAAGGAAGTCTCAAAAACACCTGACCTGGCATGGCTCCTGTGAGCTCTCTTTACCTCTCAGCCTAGCTGCCAGCGCTACGTCTGCCTCCTCAGCAAACCCAGCTTCCAGTGGTTATTCTCAGTATAGTAAGTAAAGTTCCAAGGAAACCTGCCTTTTCCAAAAAAAGAGTTATGTCGGGGTGGGAAAGTGAAGTGAGAGAGAGCAAGTGAGGGGGCTTCCGTCCGCTGGTTCACTCCCTAAATGGCAAGGAGCGTCCTCCAAGTCGGACCCAAGCACCGGGACCATCTCTCGCTGCTCTCTCAGGGCCGATAGCAGGAGCCAGCCAAGTGGGTAGAGGTTTATTTTGCTATGCCACACATGGCTGGCAGAGACCTGTTTCTGATTCAGTGTACCTGTCAGGTGATTTAGAACAAGGTTAGTTTCTTCTGGAATGTTTCTGTTTATTCTTGGCCTGGAGGCCAGAAGGCAGCACACCAGTCACTGATTTCCTAAGGAAGTATAATTGAAGTCTGTGACTGCCCGAGTGAGGCCTGTGAGGCTGGCCCTCACGCGGGCCCTTGAGCCACAAGTGTCGTGCTTGGTTCACCTGGAGTGGTGTTCATGTGTTCAGCAACACACTTGATCAGAAGGCTCCCGGGGCCAGGCACACCTTCTAAGAACTTTTCCTAGAGTTTAGGTTACCTCGAGAAGGAAGTTGGCCTTCGGGGGCAGGATGTGGGAGGGTGGGCTTTCCTGGGGCCATGTGTTGAAATAACTTACCAGAAAGTGGTTTGGGGTGATATTTAATTTGAAAGCCCAATATGTTTATATATATATAGAGATCTCATTCTTGATTCATTGTAGCACATGGGGCTGAGCCAGTTTGAAACTAGGAGCTGAAAACTCATTTACCCAAGTGGGTAGGAGGGACTCCAAGTACTTGAGCCGTCATCACTGATTTTCATTCCACAGAAGTTAAAAAATCTGTATTTAAATCATCAGTCTCCTTTGTGGTTGCTTTCATTACATAGAGTGGTTTATTTATAGTTTTTTAAGATTTGCTAATTTGAAAGTAAAAATCGGCCCCGTGGCGTGGCCTAGCAGCTAAAGTCCTCGCTTTGAATGCGCCGGGATCCCATATGGGCGCCGGTTCTAATCCTGGCAGCTCCACTTCCCATCCAGCTCCCTGCCTGTGGTCCGGGAAAGCAGTCGAGTACGGCCCAAGGCTTTGGGACCCTGCACCCGCATGGGAGACCTGGAGAAAGTAACTGGCTCCTGGCTTTGGATCGGCATAGCATCGGCTGTTGCGCTCACTTGGGGAGTGAATCATCAGACGGAAGATCTTCCTCTCTGTCTCTCCTCCTCTCTGTGTATCTGACTTTGTAATAAAAATAAACAAATCTTTAAAAAAAAAAGGTGAAAGAGAGTGATATCTTCCATTTATTAGTTCACTTCCCAGCAGCAGCTTGGGCCATCTGCTACTGCTTTCCCAAGTGTGTTAGCAGGGAGCTGGATCAGAAGTGGAATAGCTGGGGACCCAGTGCTGTAGCCCAGTGGCTCTAGTCCTTGTTTTACATATACCGGGATCCCATATAGGCACTGGTTCATATCCTGGCTGCCCCACTTTTCATCCAGCACTCTGCTTGTGGCCTGAGAAAGCAGTCGAGGTCAGCCCAAAGCCTCAGGACCCTGCACCTGCTTGGGAGACCCGGAAGAAGCTCCTGGCTCCTGGCTTTGGATTGGCTCGGCACCGGCTATTGCCGCCACTTCGGGAGTGAACCATTGTATGGAAGATCTTTCTCTGTGTCTCTCCTTTTGTATGTAAATCTGCCTTTCCAAGTAAAAAATAAAATCCTTTTTTTTTCTTGATTTTTTTAAATTGGAAAGTCAACTATACGGAGAGGATAAGAGACGGAGAGGTAGATCTTCTATCTGCTGGGTCACTCCAAGCAACTGCAACAGTCAGCGCTGAGCTGATCTGAAGCCAGGAGCCTAGAGCCTCTTCCGAGTCTCCCACGTGGGTGTTGTAGGGTCCCAAGGCTTTGGGCCGTCCTCGACTGTTTTCCCAGGTCACAAGCAGCGAGGCGGATGGGAAGTTGGGCTGCGGGGGACACGAACCAGTGCCCATATAGGATCCCAGCGCATGGAAGGCAAGGATATTAGCTGCTAGGTTACCGCATTGACCCCTAAATAAATACTTAAAAAAAAGAAGTGGTATAGCTGGTGTCCATCAGAATTCTGGCCCCACAGAAAAATTGTAACATTTTAACAGTAGGTTTGTTTCTTTGTTTATTTAGCTATCTTATTTTGGGGGAGGGCAAGCGAGGCTGAATATTTAAGATTGTGAAGAGCTGATACTTGCTAGCACTGGCCAGTGAGTCAGCTGGGGAAGGGCACGTGGCCGAGTGATGCAGCTCCAGTGGAGATGTCCACAACCCGTGAGGAAGTGCCTGGGTTCCCGTCCCAACTCCTGCTTCTGACTCTGCCTTCATGCTGTCGCAGACCCCAGGAAGCAGCTGTGAGGGCTGGGTTCCTGCTGCCCCGTAACCAGACCTGGGCTGAATCCTCAGCTTCTAGCTTTGGTCCTGGCTGCTGTGGGAGTGAACTAGCAGCTGGGAGCTCATTTTCTATTGGTGTCTTAGAAAGGTGAATGCCTTGCAGCCCCGTGGCCAGGGATGGCCTAGCAGTGCTTAGGGCTGTCAGCTGTGTGCAGTGTGTTTCGTAGGCTGGTGAGATCCCAGAGTGAGAAACCAGGCAGGTGGCCAGGACCACCTGACCCCGGGCTGGTGAAGCTGGCTGTTCTCACCCTGGTTTTTTCCCCTCCAGGTCTAGCCAGCCCGGTCCTGGGCCTGAAAGAATGCACGAGAGGCTCAGCGGTGTGGTGCCAGAACTTGAAAACGGCCTCTGACTGCGGCGCCGTGAAGCACTGTCTGCAGACCGTGTGGAGCAAGCCCACCGTGGTGAGCACCTGCCCTTGCTGCAGCACCCCGTCCCCTCATGTCCTCTCTAGTTCTGGCCCTTTGTCCTGCCCTGGCTTGGTTTGCTCCTGGTGTGTCCCTGCATCCTTGCCTGCACTTCTACCTGCTCAGGCTAGGAGTCCTCTCCCCTGAGGTCATCTCGTCTCCTGGCAGAGAGGCCCAGGCTCTCTGCTGTGCTGCCCACTCTGGCTAAGGGGTCCCCGCCTGCAGTGCCACCGCCAGCATTGCGCACACAGCTCAGCCCTGTCTTGGGTCACAGACGTTAAAGCGTGTGTGCTGACCTTCTCCGGTCTCTTTCCCTGAGCTGATGTTTTGTCCTCCTCCCCTCACCCCTCTCAGAAGAACCATTGGTTGAGACCCTAGAGACTAATGTTACTTCTATCCATGACCACATTGGGAAGGAAAGCTGTGACTCATCCTCAGGGACATGGGCCCTCGGGGGAGCCAGCTGTCGTGCAGCCCTGGCCATGTTTAATGAGTGGAGTTTAGTGACCCTGGACAAGTCTCAGAGCTCGGTTTGAAAAGAGGAAAGCTCAGTACCATTGCTGTGTTAGAAATCATTTCTGAATTATTTACTGGGAGCCCCCCACTGTGGCCACAACTTTCAGATTTGGTTCCTCTTTGGCTGCGGTCTCGATTTCAGTACCACTTCCTCTTTCTGTGTTTGCGGGGTGAGGTCTTGGTGGGAAGATGTCCGGGGTTGCCCAGCTGGTACGCTGTGCCAGCCTGACCGGGTCCCAGGGCTCTCAGCGGTTGGTTGGCTTGGTGTCTCTAAATGCAGGTAACATTCACAGGCTCCTTTATGCTCACTGAGCTGTGCTGGGTCCTTGGGCCCTGCTCCAGGGGCCCAGAGCCAGTTGACATCAGGTGCATTCCTAAATGCTGTGAACCCAGCCAGGGTTTGTTGGCCTCTGGGCTGAGTGGGGCCCTGACGCGCAGGCTTATCAGGAAGTTGGCTTTTTAGCACTTGGAGAGTCCAGCTACAGCTTCAGCCGCAGCCTTTCTGGAAGGTTGATGGGACCAGTAGGATGAACAGACATGCAGACCACTGGCTGCCCCACCCTAGCCATGCTCTGTAACTGCGCCTCAAGTTTTTGGGGAGTGTTCATGTGACTTGACCTGTGTCACGTGCACTCAGGAGGGTGTGGGAGGCACCAGCGAGAGTGCCGAATGCTAAGGAAGCAGAGTGTTGCAGTAAATCACATTCCTTCTCTCCCCCATGGTATCCTGGTGGGCAGGGAGGCTTCTCATGGAGGCTGGGAGCCAGGAAGCCACAGCCAGGGATGCATGGTGACTGCATCCCCTGCTGGGTAGAACAGGAAGGGAGCCACGGTGCTCCAGAGCTGTGTGGTGGTGACCACTCTCTCTCCCTCGTGTGCCTTCCACCTAGAAATCCCTTCCCTGCCGCTTGTGCAAAGATGTGATCTCTGCGGCTGGCGAGATGTTGAAGGACAACACTACCGAGGTGAGTGGCTGCTGGTGGGCACATTCCAAAGACGAAGGGTCTAGGTGGGCCCAGGGGCGACAGGTGTCTGTAAAGGGCAAGGGAGGGGCACCCATGGCATGGCAGGACCTGTGTTGGACACCCTTATTGCTCCTTTTGTCTGTTCAGCACTTTGAAAAGGTGTACACTGTTTTTGACACTGGGCTGTACAAAACAGACTGGTATTTGCTCACTGCTTGGCTCCATGCTCAAGGTCCAAGGTTATTGGAATTTTGTATGGATGCCATTAGCATCCAGGTGCAGTTTGGCTTTCTGCTTAGAAGGCCCTGTGTGGGACTTGAGATCGGGGTCTTTGTTCTGGGTTTCTGTCTGGGCCTGCTCTTGTGTGGTTGAGTCGACAGCCATGGGTAATTACCAACTCTCTCTACCAAAGTCCTGCTCCCAAAGACCTGGCTGTTTGTAGGCCTGCTTTTCCTGAGGGCAGTTAAAGGTGTCTGGGTTGGAACCCTTCTGCAGGGAGGAAGCCCCCTTGGGCCTTAACCTCTGTTGTTCCCCTCACAGGAGGAGATCCTCGGCTACCTGGAGAAGACCTGCGACTGGCTTTCGAACCCCAACCTATCTGCCTCGTGCAAGGAGATTGTGGACTCCTATCTGCCCGTAATCCTGGATCTCATTAAAGGAGAAATGGTACATGGGGGGTTGTTTCCAGAACCCAGGCTGGAGGGCCTGACGCTGGAAACTTGTGTGATGGCGGCTGGTGGTGGAGCAGGTGGGATCATACGTGATGCTGAAGGAGTGTGAGCCAGGATGCCGTGGAGAGTTGCCAGTTGGCGAGCTCAGGACTAATCCAGGTGACCCTTTGAGCAGGCAGGTGATATCATCTCTGTGAATGTAGAAGTAAGGAGTAACCCAGGGACTGAGCTTGTGGGCTCATCTTTACCTTGACTTGCTTTTATTTTAGCAAGCATACAAGGATATTGTATACCAGCTATGTGCCAGAGGCTGGGTTTCCAGCCAGGAGCCAGTGCTAGCTCTGGAGTTTGGAAAGGGAGTGGGGACAAAAGTAAGAGGGTGGCAGAGCAGGGGCGTCCTGAGACAGGGCCAAGGTCCTGGCGAGGGAAGTTGGGGTCATGCTGTGCAAGGCCTGCTGGGCCGAGTTCAGTGGGAAGTCCTTGGAGCAGCAGGGAGGGCAGGATGGAAGGAGTGACGAGTGCTACAGATGGCAGGGGGTGTAGGAGGCTGTCGTGAGATGAGTGGATGTCATCAGGGCCTCCCCTCTCTGGGAAGATGGTGGTGGAGGCTAGCAGATTGGGTGGGATGGAGGTGAGAGTAACTCCAGATGTCTGGTGGGCATAGTGTGCGTGTGAGGCATGGGAAGAGATGAGTACTTAGGAGCCGGCATCTGATGGGAGCCAGTGCATTGTAGTTGCTGGCTTGGGCAGTGGCTCTGAGCTACTGTGCCTCCTCTAGCCTGTTCTCTTGCTCCCAGCTGCAGGTGAGCACGGGGGACATATAGGAAGTTTGGAGGCTGCTGGGTAGTCAGGCACCCGGGCTGTAGGAGGAGCTCAGGGAGTCTGAGCCATCTGCATCTGGCCAGCAGGCCATTGCATTTTTTGGTCCCAGGTTTGGGGAGATGGGCATACTCCCACAGCCTGTCTAGTGCTCCCAGGTGGGATGAGGCTTTCAGCTGCTCCTCTGTCCTCTTCCAGAGCCGGCCTGGGGAGGTGTGCTCCGCTCTCAACCTCTGCCAGTCCCTGCAGAAGCACCTGGCTGAGCTGAACCACCGCCGACAGCTTGAGTCCAATAAGATTCCAGGGTTTGACATGACGGAGGTGGTGGCTCCCTTCATGGCCAATATCCCCCTGCTGCTCTACCCTCAGGACGGCCCCCGCAGCAAGCCGCAGCCAAAGGTGAGGCAGGGGGCCCAGCCTCCTGGGTTGGAGATGAGCCACCAAAGGGCAGCATGTGTGGTTCTGATGGTGCCTTCCCCTGCCAGCCTTTGCATGGTCATTTATGTGGTTTCAGAAGAACAAGATGTTTATGATGGGCAGGGGACCCCCACCACGCAACACCATGCCATTGCTGTCATAAATCCCCAACTAATTCAAACCAGCTATTGATTCTAGAGCTTGTTAAGGCCCTAGGTGTTATGGCCTTGGGTGGGTAAGCACCATTCCTGGGAAACTGGAACCCCTCTGTCGCACTGTTGCTATGCCCACCGCCACTGTCCGCAGGATGACGGGGACGTCTGCCAGGACTGTGTCCAGATGGTGACCGACATCCAGAATGCTGTGCGCACCAACTCCACCTTCGTCGAGGCCTTGGTGGAGCACGCCAAGGAGCAGTGTGACCGCCTGGGGCCCGGCATTGCCGACATGGTGAGCCTCATCCGTGTGCCCTGGAGGATGTTCTGGGCCCAGGAGACAAGTGTGGAGTGGGGCCACCAAGAAAATGGTGGCCCATTACCACCTGGTTCCAGCCACATCCAAAATGGTAGTTCATGAAGCACCCGTTCCCCTTTTCCCCTGCTTTCTGAGGGGCTTGAGCATCCTGTGCCTAACTGGACAGGGGACAGAATGACAGAGGACTTTCTGGGTCAGCCAGACGCGTCAGAAGCAGCACCACAACCACACATAGCCCTGCTTTTGAAGGCTTGGTTGGTGTCTCGGAAGCTCAGGCTTCTGTGTGCGTTCCCTGAAGGGGCTGAGCTTGCTTCAGTGGGCACGGGCTGGCACAAGACTCACCCAGATGAGGCCTGCCTCACCCTTGGGGTTGGGCACCTACTCTGTGGGGCTGTGAGGCTATTGTGCCGGTTGAAGAGTCTGTCCTGTTATTAGTCACATTTGGGAAGTGGGTGTGTCAGGCTAAAGTATCAGCACTGGAAAACCTGTTGGACGGGTTCAGGGTGGGGGTGGGGAGCTGGGCTGAGAGATGCCCAGGAGGATAAGGCTGCTGTGGGTGCCAGGGCTTCCACCTGGAAATCATAGGGATGTCTTCACGTGGCGGTTGCAGTCGCTTTCCCAGCTGCGTCCTCTCTGAGGGCTGTTCTTGGCTCCCTCACCGTCCAAGCGCTCTGTCACACCAAGTTGACATGTGGGTCTGCCACAAACCCTGAGATGTGGGTGAAAGCTGGCAGTTATGGCTCCTTAGTGCTTAATTTGACTGTTTCCTTGGAGAACCCAGTCCAGCAGGGTCAGTGGCCTTGGGATTGTTCACCTTGGGTTCCTGGGCAATGATTGGCAGCTGCTCTGTGCCCCTGGGTGTTTGAGCCAGAAGGAAAGCAATGGGAAAAAGGGCTCCTGGGGCCTGGCATACATACACCTGACCCTCATGCTTCCCTTAAGATGTGCAGTCACCAGACTGTTGTTTTTTTCTTAGCAGAATTTTCCGGGAGCAGTCATTTATAGACCTCTGTGTAGGGCCATTACTTGATAGTCACCTGGTGCTGACTGGCCAGACTGGGTGTGTATGTGTGTGTGTGCTTGTGTCTGGCCAGCTGTCTAGCTTGGGGTGTGTGTGTTGGGAGTGGACTGGCTGGCCTCTGTGTGTGTGTGTGTGTCTGGCCGGCCGGCTTGGAGTGGGGGAGTTGGAGAGGGGAGTGTGCGCTGTCACAGTCAAGGTGCTGACGGTCTCTCTTCCTGCAGTGCAAGAACTACATCAGTCAGTACTCGCAGATTGCCGTCCAGATGATGATGCACATGGTAGGTGGCGGGAAGGCCCCTTGGGCGTCCTTGTTTGAATTTTTGTGCTTCCAGGAATTCCAAAATGTGACCTTGGGGTCCCGAGAGGGGCCCCGACGCACCACCAGGCCATCCCCTTGTAGTGGCAGTACCTCCCCCTAACAGGGAAGCAGCTGGTCCCCAGGATGGCCCTGGCCACATGCTGTCGCCTCGTTGGCCTGTGCAGTGGCGAGCTGACCATCAGCTTTCCCCGCTGCAACCCGTGGACATAGTCTGCTGCGTAACCAAGCCTGAATCTGGGAGGAGTGCTTCCTCAGGAGTCAGCCTTGTGCACTGTGTCGGGGGCTGCTGCTTGAGCCTGAAGCTCCTGTTCCTGGTGCCTGGCGCCTCCCGCTGGGAGGAGCTCAGGTTGTTAGCTGCGGCAGGAGGGGAAGGTAGCTGGCTGGCCCAGCAGCAGGCTTGTGCAGAGCAGGGTGGACTGTGGGTGTCCTTCCGCTGGGAACAGGCTCCTGGTCTCCTAGAACGACCTGCACCTGGAGGGAAGGAGGTTGTGCTGTGTCGTCCTGGCTCACACAGTCTCTGGCTAGGTTGAGCTCTGGAGTTTGTTCTTACTGCAGGGCTTAGGAAGTTACACTCAGCTACCCACTTTGTACACAGTGTCACCTTCCAGCCTGCAGAACCTACAGTGCTGGCTCTGTGGTCCCACTGGCACCACCCGGATGTCCACCTAGGCACTGAGCTAGCTGCCCAGCCCTCCTGTGCCACGGCAGCTGACAGCAGCACGGCCCTGACGTGCCTCTGATGGGACTTTGGGGAATGCTTCCTTATTGCTCATGGAAGTATTTTTCTGACAGCATATAGGATTGTTTGGAAAATACGGATAATATTATTTCTCATTGCAAACATCATTCAGGGTTTTGTAACCAGTCACTGAGGCAACATTTCATGGTGCTTGGTACTTGGCAGGGGATTTGGGGGCACATACATGTAAATACTGACTGTGAGATACACTGGTTCAGACAATGAAGTGGCTGCTCCAGTCACCTGCTACGTGGGTGGGAATTACTGACATAACCCATCAGCCCGGGGCTGGATGGTGATGTGTTTTGGTTTGCCCTTAGGAGGGTGACCATCCTTAGAGCAAATGGGGGTGTCCGTATCATACCAGGAACCCCCACCCCCAGCAGGGAGAACTGAAGCTGGAGCCGCTGAGCCGTAGTTCCGGGCTTTGAGTGCTGTGGCAATGGAGAGCGTGTGGGGTACCACAGTGCCTCCTGTGGCAGCCCTGCCTTCCCATGGGGACCTGCGGGTGGGGAATTCTGGAGTCATCGTGGGGCCCAAGCAGGACGGAGTATGCTGGCAACGCCTTCTCTGCTGGGTCAGGGACTGGTCCCTTGAGGGTTTTCACAGCCTCCTGCCCACAGGGTAGGAAGAAAGGAGACTGCTTGACCCCTGCCTGTGCCCTTAAACTTCCTGTGACCTCCCTGCACCGGTTAACTGATGGTTGTTTTTAAGTTTTCTTAACTGTTGTGTCCTTTCCTTTCTCTTTATTTTCATCTCCGATTTCCCGTTTTTTTGTTCAACAGCAGGATCAGGTATGTGATGGGGAATTTGCTTGTAGTGGTGGCTGCTTTCCTAGTTGGCGCTTTCTTTTTTTGGTATGGCATGATCAGCTCTGACAGATGCAAGGAATGATTGCAAAAGGCAGGGTCCCTCTCTGTGAGTATGCTGGACACAGCTTCTATAGCCCTTCCCCGAGACTGAGCATGCGCTGTAGGTGCCGGAAAACAAGGCCAGCAGTGTCCTGGGCTCCAGTCAGAATGGCCACACTGGCCCCATGTGCTGACCCCCAGTGGGATGCTGGGGAGCTGTGGGTTTCCCCAGAAATGTCCCAGCTTCCTTCAAGGGAGGCCTGGCTTCCGGCAAGATACCTTGTGTCTGTCATGTCATGAATGGGCATTGCATGTCTAGTGCTTCCGCTGCATGAGTGAGTCATGTGCGCAGAGCCAGCGGCTGTTCCCCCGGCTGTCGGGCCCAGCGAGTGGGAACCAGGCTCTCAGTCGTGGCTTTTGCCCCTCTAGGTGATGGGGTGCTATAGGCCGTTAGTGCCTTGAGCCAGTGCACGTTGGGAGCCACTCTGAATCTCGCCCCCATATCCACATTGGCATCTAGCTCAGAGATTAGAGATCAGTTTTTTTAAATTTTTATTTATTTCAAAAGGAGAAAGACTGACATGCAGGCATCGCCCATTCCCTGATTTACTTGCACGAAAGCTGCTCTTGGCCAAAGCCAGGAGCCTGGAACTCGGTCTGGTCTTTTGTGTGAGGGGCAGGTCCCAGCAGGAGCCATCTGCTCCCTCCCTGGGTGTGCCTTTGCAGGAAGTTGAGTGGGAAGCACAGCCTCAGTTAGAACGCAGGGTCCGTGATAGGGGATGCAGGCATCCCAAGCCACATCTAGTCTGTGATAGACTTTGCTTGAAGGCGTTTTGCCGTGGCTTTGGTGGAAACACGTGACTTTTCATCTTGGCCTCCTCGAGGAATTAGAACAAAGCTAATCCTGAAATCAAAGTGACTGTGCACCTTCTAAGCCCTGGCACCTTTTTTTCCCCTTGAAAAGCCTGTGCTTCATCTTCAGCCTGGTTCTCGCTTTCTTCCCCTTTGTAAGATGTGCCAAAAGCAGGGTCTGTGAGCTGTGCTCACATTTCAGGGTGCCCACTCTGAGCTAGTGCTGGATCCCTCTGCTAATGAGCTCAGGGAGCACCGTAGCTAAGGCCCCGCTCTCCTCCTGTAATGGGCCCATCTTCCGTGATCTCGCTCCCATGGCTTTGGTGATGGAAGGCAAAGGTACAGAGTATACGGTGCGCGTGAAGCGCGTATACTTGTCTAACCCTGGCTACTGTAGGGCAGCGGTCGAGGTCTCCGAGCTGGCTGGGTCTCTGTGGTCTGCTGTCCAGATGGTGGAGGGAAGTGACTCATTTTGGGGGTTGGGAACTTGGGGCACTTGGTTGTGGACATGCAGTGTGGGGGTTTTTTTGGTTTTTGTTTTTTAAGATTTATTTATTGGGCCTGGCGCAATAGCATAGTGGTTAAGACCTTGTTTTGCACACACCGGGATCCCATATGGTCATCACTTCTAATCCCAGCAGCCCTGCTTCCCATCCAGCTTGTGGCCTGGGAAAGCAGTCGAGGACGGCCCAAAGCCTTGGGACCCTGTACCTGCGTGGGAGACCTGGAAGAGGCTCCTGGCTTTGTATTGGTTCAACTCCAGCCATTGCGGTCACTTGGGGAGTGAACCATTGTACGGAAGATTTTCCTCTGTCTTTCCTCCTGTCTGTACATTTGCCTTTTCCAATTAAAAAAGTTTAAAAAAAAATTATTTTTGTTGGAAAGTCAGATATAACAGAGAAGATCTTTCATCCATTGGTTCACTCCCCAGGCAGTTGCAACGGCCGGAGCTGAGCTGATCTGGAGCCAGGAGTTTCTTCCGGGTGTCCCACGTGGGTGCAGGATCCCAAGGCTTTTTAGGCCATCCTTGTCTGCTTTCCCAGGCCACAGGCAGGGAGTTAGATGGGAAGCGGGGCAGTCGGGATACAAACTGGCACTCATGGGATCCTGGCACATGCAAGGCGAGGACTTTAGCTGCTCAGCTACCTCCCGCACCGGGCCTGCAGTGTGGTTTCTAAAGGAGCTGTTCCCTCCCGGGCGTCGTTCAGTGCTCCTGCCATGCAAGATCTGTATGGTTTTATTTCTAACATGTCTGGCTTTACGTTTGTGCGGGGCTGGGCCATTCCCCTTCCAGAACAAAACTGGAACTTGCCTCTCCAGAGGATGAATGTCCTTGGAGAAGCAGGGGTGTCACGGGCAGCCCTGGCTGTGACCGCAGGGGAACCACCAAGCCCTTCGGTCTCCAGGGCTTTGCGTGTGCCCATCTCCCCGCAGCCAGCTCATGTGAACATGAACCCTTTGTGGTGGAACCTGGGATCTCGGCCTGGCTGCAGGTGTCTGGTGGAGGTGGGGCTGGAGCAGGCCCTGAGCAGGAGCCCAGGGTGCTCCCGGCAGCGCAGCCTTCCCGTGGAGAGAGTGGGCTGTGGGCCGGTGGGCTCAGGCCCGTGACTGACGGCTGGTTCTGTGTTCTCTTCAGCAACCCAAGGAGATCTGTGGGCTGGTTGGCTTCTGCGACGAGGTGAAGGAGCTGCCACTGCAGGCCCTGGTGCCCGCCAAGGCCGCTGAGAACATCATCCCCGCCCTGGAGCTGGTGGAGCCCGTCAAGGTAGCTGGTGTCCCCGGCCGCACGTGGGCCATGTCCTGGGGGTCCTGCCCTGTGTGGTTCCCACCTGGCTCCTGCAGAGACCGAGGTCTGGGACCACTAGGTGCAGTTTAGGTGGCCCCTGTACTAATGCAGCCCCCTGGCCCAAGGGCTTCAGGAAATGCCCCTTTTCCCTGACTTCACAAGCCCCGGCATGCCCGTAGGGTACAGGTGTGTTTTCTTGCCCTGCTGTGGTTTCAGCCTGATGTTGTGAGTTAGAGTTGGCATTCTTACAAGGCCTGTACCTTCCAGCCCTCAGCCAGGGGCTGCCCCAACTCTGTTCTTGGGGTGCTGGGTGTGCCTTGCTCTGGGTCACGAGCCTACCTCTCCATGCTTCCACCTGTTTGTGTGTGGTGCTCAGTGTGGTGCACACTTGCCACATCCAGGGCCTTCTAGAAGTTCTGTGAGAGTTCTGTGAGACCCAAGCAACGTGTGTTGCTTCCAGAATGTCCCCTGGCACTTTCGATGCCAGCTGTTCCATCGTCTCCTCCCGTGTGTGTGTCTGTGTGCCCTCGACGGTGGGTTCAGGGAAGCCAAAGGAGGGAGACTTTGGCACTCACTCTGACCACACACGGCTGTGTAGACATAATACAGTTCCACTGGAGGCATACTCGGTGCTCTGCCTGTCAGCTGTGCTTCCTGCACCCTGGAGGTAGATGGCGCTGGCACCACAGGGCCGAGACCCATCCTTGCAGGCAGTGAGGGAGTCGCCCCCAGGCCCAAGTGCTGACAGCCCAGGGCATCCTGAAGTGGGGGCCCCAGCTCCTTTCTTCAGGTAGGGGAGCAAGCCTAGGCTAGGGGGGCGGGTAAGGACAGAGGACGATAGGTCAGAACAGAAACTTGAATGTGGATGGTGGGAGGAAGCCGAGGCTGCACTCATTTTGCATTCAGTAGGCTGTGCCCCTGCCCTGTCTGTCCTGTGAGGGAGCAGGGCCAAGGCGTGTAGGTGTTGGCCTGAAGGTGCCCTGTCTCCCCGCAGGAGGCACCGGTCCAGGTGCGCTCTGACCTCTTGTGCAAGGCCTGTGAGCTCGTGGTGCAGAAGGTGATGGACCTGATTGACAACAACAAGACCGAGGTATGGCACCTGTGCCCCCCACCCCTGCACCCTAGACCCTCGTGGTGGGCGGGAGGTTGTTGCATAGCCACATCCGCCGTGGCACCCTATAGAGTGGGCAGGGTTCCCTACTCTTGCTCCTGGCTGCTTTTGGGGGTCCTTGTCTGCTACCTGCCCCCTCATTGTCTTGCGTGTGCTTCAGGAGGAGATCATCCACGGTCTGGACAAGGTGTGCTCGGAGCTGCCCACCTCCCTCGCACAGGAGTGCCAGGAGGTGGTGGACACGTACGGCAGTGCCATCCTGTCCATGCTGCGGGAAGAGGTGAGCCCCGAGGTCGTGTGCAGCCTCCTCCGCATCTGCTCCAGCAGCAGCACGCCACCCAGACTGCCCGTCATGCCTGGTGAGCCATGGGGTGATGGGGAGGCTGGGCCCCGTCCTGGGGAGGGCTGCTGGCGCTGAACCCTGTGCCCTCTGCTCCAGCGCGCACGGGCCCAGTGAAGGACGGCTTCTGTGAGGTGTGCAAGAAGCTGGTCGGCTACCTGGAGCACAACCTCGAAAAGAACAGCACCAAGCAGGAGATCCTGACAGCCCTGGAGAAAGGCTGCAGCTTCCTGCCTGAGCCCTACCAGAAGCAGGTATGCCTGGCGCCCCGGCAGCTTGAGGAGGGGACCCCCACAGCCACAGAGTGCGGAGGCTTGAGGGGTGAGGAGGTGATGTGTTGGCTTACAGGAGCCGTGAAGGGAGAGTGGAGGGTGTGAGAGGGAGAGCTTTGCCGTCTCTTGGGCACCCCTGGACCTGTGTTCCCTTTGCTTGACAGTGTGACCAGTTTGTGGCTGAGTACGAACCCGTGCTGATAGAGATCTTGGTGGAGGTGATGGACCCTGGCTTCGTGTGCCTGGTAAGCATTTCTATGCTGCCCTGCCCTCCAGGGGCTACAGCGTCCGGGCAGCTCCTCTGAGGCTTGTGCTCCTGAAATGGTGTGTGGGCGATGTGCCCGCAGTTGGGCAGACCAGCAAGCGTGCAGCCTGAGGCCCTCGCCGGCGTCCCTCCCACGTGTGCGCTTTCATCTTGAAAGGGCTGAGTAGGGCTGCTCTCCATCTGACCCTCTTCTCACTGTGCAGAAAATTGGAGCCTGCCCTTCAGGCCGGAAGCCTGTCTTGGGAACTGAGAAGTGTGTCTGGGGCCCCAGCTACTGGTGCCAGAACTCGGAGACAGCTGCCCAGTGCAACGTGAGTAACTGGTGGACCCCAGGGCACCTCTCAGGAGGGACTTCCTGTACTGGGGGACCACTCTGTCCCTTGCCTGCCTCTCAGCAGAATGGCGAGCCTTCAGCCCCTGCTGGGGTAGGGCTGGCCAACTCTCCTGCTTCAGGGAGTAAGGTGGAAATCTTTTGTTTTTTTGCTTCTGCTTTCTCATTTTCGGTTCCCTCGTGACATGGCTGCTGCAGGGGTTGCACAAGTCCCCCTGCACCCCCTCCCGACCCTGACAGGCACAGTCACCCTTGCTGGGGCCTGACCAGGCAGGGCTGCAGGTGCCCAGCCATGCAGCATTGGCCATGACCTGTGCTGCTCCTTTGGGTGGGAGGAGTCTAGGTGTGGCCTGATCTGTTACATCATGTTGCTCTTTGCCACTTTTTCCTCCTCCCTGGGGTGTCCTGTGGCCAGGTCACAAGCAGTTGTGTCACCGTTGAAGGGAGGGGCAGAGAGGCCCACTGCACTGCCAGTGGTGGAACTGGCTTCTGCTGCCAGCATGGCCAGGGCCTAGGGAGAAGATACGCTCCTGGCAGTGCGAGTGGAACCCCATGCTCCCACCAGAGGGCCATGCACCTGCTGCCCAGGGCTTGGACCCTACAGGTCCCTAACATTCTAATGACCATCCTCTCTGGGTGTTCAGCATGTGCTGTCCAGTCAGCCCATAATGGGACCTGTTCTGACCAGGTTTGGTGCGTGAAGGGGCTGGGTGCGGGATGGAGGATGTTGTCTAAAACCTAAGCCCACTCCCTTCTTCCCCCCATCCCACCCCAGGCTGTGGAGCACTGCAAACGTCATGTGTGGAACTAGGCCACGTACCTGGTCCCTCTGGCAGAGAGAAGCTGTGGTAACACATCCTAGTTGACTTTGTTATAAAATAGGACCCCCCTCCCCCTCCGCTCCTCCAGTCTCCCTCCTGTTGTAACGTAGCTTCCGCATGGGGGTTGTGCGCGCCCCAGAGGTTGGACCTGCCTTCCGTGTGGACTTACTAGAGGAGGAGAAGGTCACGCCAGAGCCCCTTGACAGGATCAGAGCTGTCCCTGGGCTGGGGCCTTGCCGAACCTGGGTGGGAGGGAGTGGGAAGGAATAACCGTCTCCTTCCTGCTAGCAGACAGCGCCACAAAGGCAGGGTCCTGAGGGTGAAGGCGCTGCTGTGGCCAGCCCGGCTGCTCTGGGCGCACGAGTTACCCTGATTTTAGCTTTCCTGTCATGGGCGGGGGAATCGCCTGACTACGCTGCTAGCTCTGTGGCCAGCCTTGCCCATGCCCCCAGGTGCCCACTGCATCCCCGCCTCTGTACCTCCCCCCCTGCCCGCCCATGGATGTTGATTTATGTTTCCCCCAGTCAGTGTAGAGGACGAGCTCCTGACCTGCTGGCCGCTTGGAGCGGGGCAAGCTGCGGGGCCTCCTGGCTTCTGCTGCTCCTCAGGCTGCCAGTGAGCCGGGCAGGCGCTGAGATGAACCTAAATGAGTGGTCTGTTTTGCACTAAAATTTGTGTGATTTAATAAAGTTCTGTTAACCAGATGGAGCCCAGAATCGTTTCTTCAGCCCCATGGCCGGAAGGATAAGGTCTCTCCTTAGGTTGCAGACAGCAAAGTGGACTGGAAAACGTAACTGTCCCTCATCCCCCAAAAGCACACGGACAGGTGACCAGAGCGAGTTCCTTGTGAGTTACTTTTCTCTTTAAACAGACCATTCCAGAAACTCTCAACGCGTACCAGTGCAACAAAAGTGGGAGCACATTGAGGAATAACTTAAAAATACACACACACTACGTTCAAGACCCAAGGGTGCCACGGTCACGTCCTTGTGAGCTCAAGCGGGGAGGATGCTCTTTCCTGGGTGCTCATCTCAGGCGGCCTATAGGGTCATGGCAGAATTGGTGTGGGGCCAGCAGGGGGCGCTCACTGTCCTCCGGCTCCCCCAGTGCAGGGTTCCTGGGGTGTGGGGTTGGCAGAGTGCAGAGTGGCCGCCCAGCCCAGCCTGGGTCACACTGGTCCCCAGACTCCCACCCCCTACTGACCCTTGGTACCTCGTCCTTAGATGCTGAGCATTTTTGTTTGGTTTTCTTAAAAAAATAACAAATCTTATGAAGGTAGAGATCAGATGCTGATGGAGGACACCAGGGCCAACCCAAGGCCACTGTCCACCGGAGCAGGCCTGGGCAGTGTCCCATCCGCCGGTAAGGCTTCCGAGCCTGGTCAGAGCTCTGTGATCTCCAGGGGGCTCTCCATGATGACGTCACGCAGCTTGTGCAGGGGCGTGGACTTGGCGGACTCGGTGCGGGCGTTGCGCTCCAAGGCAGCGGCCTCCGAGGCCATGAGCGTCTCCAGCGAGCGGCCCAGGCCCTTCTGGTCGTCTTCGGGCAGGCTGTTGAGGTCGGTGGCCAGCAATGTGCCGGTGCTGCCGTGGACCACGTGGATCCCGTCCGGCCCCTTGAGCTCCATGGGCGGCTTGTGGCGGAAGCGCAGGCTGCCCTGGCTAGGGCTCTGCTCCCCGAGCTCCTCCTCCAGCTCCGTCTGGATAAGCTGCAAGAGCCCGGAGCCCCCCACCCCGCCCATTGCTTAGGGACCTGCACTTCTGCACTTGCTGGGAGTGGGGGCAAGTGCACGGCCTAGAGGTGACCTGCTGTGTGCACGGGGAGTCCTGGAATGCTGTAGGGAACCCTGGCCACGTACTTGCAAGGGCTGGCTTGGTTGCCCAGTTGGCTCTAAGCAGGGCCACCTGCAGGTGCACCCAGGTGCAGTGTCCCCAGGAAAGTTTGGAAAAGGAGGAGCACTTTGTTCCTGTGAGGGCCATGCCCAGCTAGGAAGCTCTAGCCAGCTAAAAGTCCAGCAATGGCACTGCGATCACACCTCATGTTCTCTGGCACCCTAAGAGCCAGTGAATGTCACCCCTCAAACCATCCTGAGAAACACACCTGTCCTGTGGACCCTTTCCCCCTGCACCCCGAACCAGAGGTGCCGAGAAAGGCAGCAGAGAGCAGGAAAGTGAGCACCCCCAGGCATGGGGCACAGCACACAACTCAGAGCCGCCCGGCTACCTCAGACATGGAGGAGTGGCAGGAAGAGGCTTTTTGCACCATCCGCTGTGCAAAGAGCTTTTTGAGACGCAGGTAATCCTCCAGGACCACCTTCAGCAACGAGCCCTGGGAGAGGGAGACGGTTAACCCTCCCCACCAAGGCCCACCCTGCCAGCCCCACCCCTCACACTGTCCCAGGCATGTAGGGATCCTGGTGCTCGGTGCCCAGGCCTCTCACTGGGCCCTGTGTTGGTGCTGCACCTGGAGAGGGGGCACAGGGCGGGCCTACCTGGATGGGTCCCTCCCGGATGATCTGGCCCAGCTTGGCAATGTTGTCGTACTCCTGGATGGCTGCCCGCAGGTACCGGTCATCAGCAGGCTTGACGGCTGTTGGTTCTCGCCCGAAGGTTCCCTGGAGAGGGAATGGTGGTGGCTGGATCACTGGTAGATGTCACAGACACAGGTCAGGGGACTATCCGCTGCAGAGCTCAGCTCCTAGGCCCATCCCTCACGGCCACCTGCCGGCCCCTGCTCACATGGGTGCGGGTAGGGCTGTTCCACAGGTCAGCGATCTCGCTCAGGTTCTCAGGGAGGTCGTCTTCGTGTTCGGCTTGGGCGGCCAGCTCCAGGTTCCGGCAGAAGGGGTCCAGCCACACGGGGTTGGCTCTGGGTGGGACAGAAACCCTGCCTGCTGCAGCCTGCCCACTTCCCTGGGGTAGGGGAAGGAGACATCTGGCCAGGGCACCTATGTGTGCACCTGCCTCGCTCTGAGAGCCTGCCATAGCCAGCACAACAAGCCCATCTGGGGCAGCCAGGGGCTGAGGGCTCATCCTGTACCTGCTCCTGGTGCCCCAGCCCTGTGCCTGCTGGAACCTGGGGACTGATCAGTGGTTCCCTAGGGTGGCACAAGAGGGCAGGTAGCCCAATGGGGCAGTCCAGGTTTCAGTCAGTCCCGACCCCTACTCACCCGTCGAAGGAATACTTGTTGGTGTTGGGCATGTCCATGATGTCCACGAAGCCACGATGCCCTGCGGGGAGAGGACAGGCGTGCGGAAGGGAGGGGCTCCGCTAGCAGGGCCCCTCTGGGGTGGGCAGCCAGAGTCCTTTCCATTGCCACAGCCCTCACCTGCTGAGCCAGCCACAATGGCCTTGAGCTTCCTCTTGTGTCTGGAGAGAGTAAGTGAGAGGCCAGTGAGGGAGGCTGGACCAAATTCGCAGGCTGACCCCAACCCTGGGTTGGGGCGGGGCACACACTCACACAGTCCTGTAGTACCAGTTCATGAGGATGAAGAGCATGGCTGCCAGGAAGAGGAGGATGGCCAGGACGATGATTGCCATCTGTGGGGACAGAAGGCCTGGCTTGAGCGCGCAGGGCACGGCAGCCATGGCAGGGATGGTGGAGCCCTGCTGGTTACCTGCAGGACAGACATGTCATCGGGTAGCCGCATGGAGATGGCAGGCTGCACGTCCAGCACGTTGTAGTTCCGGAAGAGGTTGCGCAGTTGTTCCTTGTTCTCATCGATCATTTGGATCACCCTGCGTGCAGGGCACGGGGCTCGGCTCCTGTCCTCAGACCTCCCTGAAGGCCTGCATCGCCGGTGCCCACCCCTGGCCCCCAGCGCTCTGGTGTGTCCAGGAGCCTTGCAAATGGTTCAGGGCCACCTGCTCAGAACCCTGTGTGCCCTACAGGCTTCCCTATGGGATCTCTTGCCATCCTTAGAAGAACTGCAGTGCCCCCATGTTACGGAGAGGGAGGGAGGGAGGCACATGGGGTACTTCCAAACTGTGTCCTCTCTAACCCTGCCCACCCCAAAGCAGGCCTGTCTGCCGCCGGACAAAGGAGGTAGACAAGACGCCCCCAGCCCAAGGTCCCTGCCCACCGGTCCACATCCAGGATGCGATTGGTGTCACGGTTCACCACGTGGATGAGCAGCTCCGTCTGTGCAAAGTTCACCCTTCCCTTCTTGTCCACGTGGAACTAGGCGAGAAGGGGTATTGTGGGGTATGGCCTCCACAGCAGGCCCAGGGGCTGGGCGGCTCTCTCCCATACCCCCAGTAACAGGCTCATCAGGCATGGTTCCCATCATTTCCCCTATACTAGGCCAAGTGCTGCCTGTCGCTATAGGCCCATTGTGTGGGATGAACAAACTGAGGCCCAGAGGCTTGGGAGGACTTCCTCAAAGCCACGCTGCTAGGCCATGACCCCACTTCTGTACTCTTGCCTCCCCAAGGTCTGGCTTCCTTCCCTGGCATGAGCCTTGTATAGGAGGGGTCTGGGAAGGCACCTGCACATCATCAGTGTTGACAATTGCTCCCGTGATGTTGGACAGCAGGCGGATGAACTCTTCCTCAAAGCTGCGCACACGGTCTGGGATCTCATTAATGACGATCTTGACACGCTGATCATCCCTCAGGATGTAGATGCCGATGATGGCCGTGTCGTTGTGGCCTGCCAGGTCCCGGGCCATGATGTCCACCACGAAGTAGCCAGGGCTGTAGGCCATGAATAGGTCGAATGTGCGCAGGATGCCATCCACATGCCCTGTGGGGAGAGCCAAGAGCAGGGCACAGCTGAGGGATGGTCCAGTGACCTCAGGAGGCAGCACACAGGCCCAGCAGGGAACAGGTGATGGGGACATGGGAGCCACAGGTATCCAGGTGAGGAGGCAGCAGCTCTGGCGTCAGCTTGGCTGTCATGGGAGAAGGCCATCCGTGCAGCCAGGACTCTGGTCAAACCGGGTCTCCCTATTCTGATGTGCAGTCCTCTCGTCCACCTGTCACCAGGGCTGCCACACCCCCGTGGGCTGCATGGGCTCCCGCTGTGGTGCAGGTGACTGCTTGCCACCCTCTCTGTCACCTGTTACTCCCCACATAGGACTGACACCGAGTTCAAACCTGTTTCTCCCTAGAACGTGACCTGAGCAACCTTTATTCAGATAAGAGCAGACAGTTCAGAAGGCCAAGAGATAGCATGTGGATAGGTAACTAAGAGAGACAACACATGAACTTGAGCTTGAAGGACAGGGTTTGGGTGGCACCCCAGGAACCACAGGTGGAAGGACTAAGAGCTGCAAGGGAGGGCACGTTGAGCAACTCAGCCAGTCACAGCACCCTCTAGGGTAGAAGAGAGCTGCATTGCCAGCACCCAGAGTGAACAACAAAACAGTGGACCCAAGGGCTAGGCCAACAGCCAGGACATGGGGAAAGAGGTTGGGGTTGAGAGTAAGGGAATGGACACCCATAGGGGCACATTTTAGAACCTGACTCAGGCAAACTGCTGTGTGACAGGCAGGTGCGCCGCTTGAGTTTCAGCTCCTTATGCTGTGTCTGACCTTGGAAGGTGACATTCGGAATTGGAGAAATAGATGCCATGGGAGTGTTGAAGAAATAGATAATGGATAGCAAATAATGAAGGTGTACTGCCCAATGCTCTAAGTCCTGTATAAAATACCACTGGCATACTGGGTAGAAATCAGAAACAATCCTAACGTTCACATGGAAT